TTTAGATTCAATAAAATCAACCTTTTCTCTAGTCTAACTTCGTCTGGCTCTTCACCATGTTGAAGTGTGACACAAGCTTGAGCTGAACCAATAATAAACTAATGCTTATTTTCATAGACAATTTAGATTCAATAAAATCAACCAATTCTGCAAGTTCAACTTCTTCTATGGCTCTTCACTATGTTGAAGTGAAGACACAAGCTCGATAGCTGAACCTAATAATAAACTAATGCTTATTTTTATAGACAATTTAGATTCAATAAAATCAACCAATTCTTTAAGTTCAACTCTGTCTGCGGCTCTTCACCGTGTTAGAGTGATGAGGGGAGCTTACGAGGTTAAACAACTCACGAGTTAATGTTAATTCACATAGACAATTTAGAGTCAATTAAGTCAACGAGTTTTTCTACTTTTATTTATGCGTATTATTTTTTAGTTATTGCATTGCACATTGATTGATATACTTATGCAGTATGTTGAGACTTTGTGAATTGAAAAAAAACATTTTCATTTCTCCGGTTTTTCGCTAGTGAGTTTTACTATCAATGATTTACACCGGCAAGAGTTTGAAAAGTAACAGAAAACAAGCAAATATTTGTTATTCATCATAGTACAACATTGCTCTATGCAATTCGGAAACGTAGAAACAGTTTTTATAAAAGTTTTTGTATATTATAATGTCACCACGTTTTGCTTCGATTAGAGGAACATCTTGATATATTATATTGATTTTATTCATATGATATGGTTGTTGATGGCTTGACAATAGACAATTCACAAGTACCAAATTTTCAAGCTGTGGTAGTTGCTGTAACAAATTCTCCAACGTATTCCAAGTGAGAAAGTTATCATTTTCTAGACGTAAATTTTTAAGATTTGGGAAATTTGACACAAAATCAACAAGGTAATTTGATGATACATTTCCTCTGTGAATGAATACCATAGACTCTAAAGTTGTATTTCGTTGACACGGTTTCACCCACATGTTATATGTGTGATCGAATTCCACTTTAATGTATGCATGTTTAATTTTACATGTATCAAAAAAATCCCAACGCACGTTACCACTCACAACCGTTAGTATCAATACATCTAGCTCATCTGTAAGTAAAATTTGTCGCAGTGAATAAATGTTATTTGAGCTTGTTTCATCATCTATCCGCAAATTTAAAATTTTCAATTTAGCAAAAATGTAATTGAAGCTGTAATGATGATATAAACGAAGAATAACCAACTTAAAACTAACTAGATTACCTGTGAAATCTTTAGCAAAAACAAAGCGCAACACTTGTCTGAACTGTTGTAAATCTGCTAAAAATTTATTTTCATGATGATGCTCAGTAAGATTGACATAAGAAAGCTCTGAGTAATGGATAAGGTTATGGGGCATATCATAACTTTTTCTTTCTATGGTTTCAAGTTGATTCAAATTGAGAAAGTTTGAGAGGATATCAATATCTCTAGCCAAATAACGCAGTATTTGTTCGTGAATCAATTTAAGTTTTGGAAAAATTTTTATAGAAATGTTTTTAGAATGTAATAAATCGAAAAATTGCATCGATGTTGCAAAAAATTTTGCATTGTTTATGGCATAACACGAATGGGATTTTACGCTTTTCGATAGGTAACCTAATGGTGGTTCATGAAAATCAATGAAATAAACTTCGTTGCACTTTTGTAAAATAACTGGTAAAAGTTTTGGGTACACAATTGCAAATGAAAAAATTGAAGTTAAATCATTCATTTGCCACACAATATTAAAAAAACAGTCATAAGGTAATTGGTTGATCGACAACATCGTTACATATTAAGGTTGTCAGCATCCAGTACTTTTTTGTATCCATTTTTTATAGTATCATCCTCTTCATTATCTTGCAAACTTTCCTCACTTAAAGACGACGGGTGTTCATCTTCTTGTAGTGTTGGTTCTACTCTCATCTTCACAGGCGTATTCTGCCTAGACGCTTTCGGTATCAAAAGAGGTGGAGTGACAGGTTTTTGAAGAACAAACAGATCCGGAGTGAAATTTATAGTCTGCTTACTATTAGCGGTGATGTTATCATTTTGATATAAACCATGATCTGTTTCAACGGTAGTTAATGCACGAAAATCAATATGTTCTTGTGAAAGTATAATGTTTTCATATATTGAACCTTTAGGTAGGTATGGGTAGACACTCGTTACATTGTATAAACCATAACCAGAAGTACGATCTGACTCGTTTTTCTCCAAACTGATTGCTGGTTCAAGGGGCACTTGTGTGTTTTTTTCAGAAGTAAATCGTGAATATAAATTCTTTGGTAAATCTTTTTTGATAATTTTTTTAATTGCTACATTTTCATAAACAGTTTGTGGTGCAAGTTGAAAATAATCCATATTATTTCTGCTGACTGCTGATTATATTTCTGTTCTATTTTATAATATTAATACAATATTATAGTTGAAAGGTAAATAACAACATGGATATTGATGAGAATGAGTTAATTTTATTTGCTGATGATACTAGTGACATCAATGAAACTGATAAATGCCAACATACACACAAAATGATACAAGAAACAACCATGGAAGAAGGTGAACAATCAAACGATGATGAAGATGATGGTATCACAATAACAATTGGTTCCTTTGGTAAAAATGATACAGATCGTATAAAGGAAAATAAAGAAATCAACCACCTTATTGAGCAAAGTCTACACACAAATTTAATGGAACCAACTGTTTCTTTCATAATTGATGAGCGATTTATCATTTGTCAGAACACTGTGAAAATTTCGAAAAATTTACAAGACAAGATTTGGAAAAAACCTATTGATGTGCCACTAAGCACCAATCCTATTTTACCTCAAAATTTTGAATTCATTGAAAAGACCCTACAAGAATTTGTCAAACAAAATTACAAAGCCAACATCATTCATGCAAATGAGATTGTTGGGTTTTTAGGAACTCATTATGTTAAAATGACAAACTACAATTTTCGCAGATTGTTAAATTCGACGAAACCACAACGGAATTCGTTACTCAATGCTACTTCGGGCATCAGTGATTCTCTTATCATAGACACTAATGCTGGAAATACAGCGAAAAAATACTTCAATGACTTTTGTTTGATTGTTTTCAATAGACTAACTGCAAAGATCATTGATTTTTCTATACATGGTTCTATCGGAAACATAAACACTCTTATAACAAGATACAATTTAACCAAAATATTTTACAATGATGATAAGAGTAACCAACTGTACAATTTTCTGACATCTTCATGCTCTCCGTTCTATCCATACATGAATAACCGTCTAATTTCAGTACGAGCACATCCAATCCAATCAACGGTGAATGTTATAGCTTTTTGTCCACTTTCGTGTGCGTACTGTGCATATTGCAAAACTTTACAGTTTATGTTTGGATTTTTCGCCAACAAAGGATATCATCATTTACTTACAAGAGAACGAATGAGGTCTGACTCAAAATTAACCATTGCTGATTGGTTCAAACAGTCAACGATTGTGAAAAAAGATCGCATAAGAAAAAACATTAAAAAATCTAGAATTGGAATTCGTAAAACTTTAGGTACACAGAAAAAATAAAATCTGAAAGATTGCAGTTGCATCAAATTTTATCCATCACTTTTTCTTTGACTTTTTCTGTGTAATATCACTTTGTTGTGAGTTTATTTGTTTTTTTGTCGAAACAATGTTTTGATTTGTTTTCACATTACTTTTCTGAGCTAAAGATTGTAATACCTTGTAGAAACTTGCGTATATAGCAAAAGTGAGCTCAATTTTTTCATCTGAAATTTTAGTAAATTTCTCACCATATAAATCAGTTAGATGGTCTCGAAGGATTTCTCTTAATGAATCTATGAAACTATTGGTTAAAAGATTAACATCCAAGGGTTTCTCATCTTCAAGCATTGACTTGATATATCCAACAGTAGCAATACTGGAAAGAGTTTTTGCGCCTGGATGTTTGATCAACTGGAAAAGATCGCCATTGATTTTCTTTATGATATCTTTATACTCGTTAATTTTTTTCACAACACCCGTTTCTGCATGACGAAGCTCAAAAACAAACCCATCGGTGTTAGTCTCATTGAAATCTCGCATTATCTGTATAATTTCTTCTTTTGCATAATTTTTTTTCCTATCAATGGTTGACTTCTGATATCCATGCATTTTTGCATGTTATCGCGATTCATAGATTCTATAGCTTTGGTGAGTGAGGTAATTTTCGCTTCAGCTTCCCTTAATTGCAGCTCACATTTTTTAAGTTTAACATTCGCTGTTGTTTTTAACCCGTTAATTTTGTCAACTTCATCAATAGCATTGCTGCATTGCATATGTTGTTTTTTGAATTCCTCAAATTCGTCGTTTTTTTCTACTAACTTTGCTTCCTTCTCGACCAATTTTGCAGACATTTCATTTATCCCTTGAGCCCATTGGAGCTTTTCTTTGCTGATTTTCTCTTTTTCTAACTGATTATTTTTTAGCAAAGCCACATATCTTTTCGAACATTTTTCATGTTCCTCTTTGAGTTTCTCATTCTCAGATATACAACGATTGTATTTTCTAATGAAAATATTGTCAATTTGTTCTACTTTTTTCAAAAAATTATCTGAACCTTTTTTTTTGTGTAAATCGTTTTCAGTTATAATGATTTCACTGAACATCTTCTGCAGAAACACATAAGCTTCATTTTGATTAATTTTCAATTTTTTGCTTATATCATTGATAAGTTTTGGTACATCTTGTAAGTAATGTTGTATTACGAATTCATTATACTGATCGTCTTGTGTCATTTCTGTGTACAACTATATTGATAGCATAAAATAAAATAAACTTTATAATATACAATAAATAACCATCATGTATGAACACATCTAACATATTAATTAAAATTAAACTACTAATAACATATTTTATGTGTATATTTAAAATATATGTATTTGTAAATGCCATCACTCAATTCTTTTATTATTTCAACTCGAATAACATTTAAATTTAAAATTCAATTGACTCATTTTTATCTATTTCAAATTCAACATCTTCTTGCGATGTTGTAATAGAATCTATTGCTTTTTGCAATTCATCATCAACATTATTCGGATTAACAAGATCATCTTTTTTTGTTTGTTTTGACTTTTGCAGAGTCAGTTCAGTATAATCAGTGGCTTTCCTTTTCTCGTTGGGTTGACGTATTCTTGGTATTGACTGGTTAGCTTGTCCTTTTTCTTCAACCTTTCCGCCTGTTTTCTGTTGTATCTCCGTTTGACTGTATGCATCAATAACAGCTATCTGCTTTGTTTGATTCTCTATTGAATTGGTTGAGACTCTTGTTAACTTGCTAGCAACGCCTGTACTATTGATGTAGTTATTTTCGAGCATTCTATAGAAACTTGAATAGATCGAAAGTTTCACTAAAGTATCTTGTGTATCATCAGTGTGAGCAGAGTAACCAGCGTCGATATTCTTAATCTGTTCCAGCCGTTTATTCAGAATCAGATTCATTTTAGTTATATATTGTTTATCTTGTGATGAAAGTGAAAATCCTTCTTTTTCGGCTTCTTCGTTAGATTCAATTAACGATTTCAGATAACCTAATGTTATGATATTTTTAATAGCATTTTGTGATACATGCAAAAGTGGTAATGCATCAGTATCAATGTTAGCCAAGATTTCACGGTAAATTTCTACTTTTGTAACGATATCTGTTGTATTTACATTAATATGCCGGATTTCTAATTTTTCATATTCAAATATTTTATTGAAAGCGAGTATTAGTTGTTCAATCAGAATTTTCTTTCCTTTCTCATCTTTACCTCGTAAATTATCTTCAATACTCTTTTGTGGATCATAATTTTGTTTTGATTCATAGCATTCAATATTTTTGCCGTTGAATTCTTTTTGAACAGGCAGAATGACAGTCTCTGTTGCAACGGATTTATTCACAACTTTTTGTGATTGCGTTTTGATTTTATTTTCCTCACACTCTTTCAACTGTTTCCTCAGTGTTTCAATTTCAACCTCAGCTGTTGCTAATTTTGTTGTTTTTTCTGAATAGTTTTTCATGATTTTGTCTCGTTTTTTTTCGCAAACACCAAGAGTTGTTCTAAGTTCTTCGATTTTTTTTTCTAACACAACTTTTCCAATTATAAACTCAGCAGACGTTGATGTCGCAGCATCAACTTTTGTCTGGTCTTTGGATGTTTGGGTGTCCATACTGACACATGCCTGATAGCAGGGCTGAGTTTGCGAACGCAAACTACAATGAAGATAGTTGATATTGTGGTTTATGTTTGTAAATAAATTTTCCAGGTCTTCATTCTTCAAACTTCTCAATAAAACGTTAATGCTTTCACCTGTCTGTGTGTAATTTTCTTCACTTACATTTCGATCTAGTACCATATTATACAATTTCAATAATTCAATCAACTTTTGAACAAAAGATTTCTTTTCGTTTTCAATGATTTCAAGTTTTTGACTAAAATTATTTTTCATATCACTAACTATCTCTTCCCTTTCTATCTTTATTGTATTCAACGCCAATTTTATGGAATTAAAATCATCTAACAATTTTTTTTGCTCCAAAACACAATTTTCGTAAGCTTTCACAAAATCTTTACCTTCTTTAACCACATCCGCATCGAAAACTGCATCATGAAGTCTTCTGCCGAACTCATCTTCACTTCTAACAATTAGAACAAACTCTTGCTTTAGTTTTTCGTAGGCTGCCGCAGTATCCAAATTGTGAAATTTCTCAATTTTATGTACAAGTAGCGGAACGTCATGTAAAATGGTTGATAAAATGAAATCATCAACCGTATCGTATTTATTATTATCTTGTTCCATTTATTTAGTTAGTCAAAGTTTTTACTGTGCCAGTCTATAAATGATCTTAACATTAAGCGTTTTGTTTTTGCTTGGTTCAAAATGATTGGTACTTTGTGTAAATTAGTATTATTTTCATTTATGAAAAATTCTAATAAATATGTAACAGTTTGTAGTACTTGCAGAAAAAATACATGCAGATTGATTTTTGCTAACCATGTGGGTAAATCGGTTGTTTCATTCGCCGTCACTTCTTCTGATTCTGCCTCTGCGAGATCTTCTATCGGTCTATAGATGATTGAATCTAATTTCCCAGGCTGAAAATACATAAAGCAACTGATTTTTGCATCCGTGTAAGATGTACAAGGATCACGATCATTAAGAAAATCAAGAAAAAGTTTTCTTGGGCAATTGTTTGCATAATTGGCTTTCAGCTCAATTTTCTCCATAAACATTTCTCTCTTCAGATTGCAAGTTACTAAATTTGCGAAAAAATCATCGAAACAATTCTCGATATCTTTCAATGTGACAATTTTCGATTTTCTGTCAAGAGTCCAATTGATGAATGATCTCAACATCTCTGAACCATTCCACTTTTGCGTATATTTAATCTGCGAATTCAGCTTTTTTTTATCAAATTTTGTTTTCTTTTGAATAAAGAAAACTTCTCGATAATCAGCTCGACGCATCGTGGTATCTGGAAAAGTATTGTTGAAAAGTGTTGTTAAGTCCATGGATGGGTTGTCAGGTAAAGAAATGAATAAGGAATCTGTGTCTATGAAAAGAATAGTAGCTTGGTATGACTTTACACACAATTGTCCCTTTGCTAGAATATTTGTTCTATTTATGGCCGTGATTGCAGCTCCTAGTTGAGACACTTGCCTGCTTGCTATTCCATAGATAGATGATACCGTTGGTTTCATGTGTCGATCTTCCATTTCCAAACGTGATTGAGTTATCTTAGCATTTGATAGACATTTATTTGCACATTCAATGCTACGACACTTTACAATAACTGTATCTCTAATTGTCACGTAGACAGAACAACCAGGCCAAACAAGTCCCAAAGCAACATTAAGGAATTTATCCTTATCTAAATAGTCATAATTTTGATCCGATCCTGTATCTTCTTCTTCTTCTTCTTCTTCTATTTCTTCATCTTGATCTGAGTAATCCATAGATAGTTCAGTTATTTTGAACTGTATTGCTGGTAATAGTTTTTCTTCAATGAATTTCTTATATTTGTTACAAAAATCACGTGCAGAGTTGAATTCTCTGACAATTCTTGATAAAACTCCAGGCCTATTTTTCCAAATAATAATTACTAGTTTATCACCTCTTTCGGTAAGATTTTCTTTGTTAAAAACAAATTCTCCACCAACATATTTGTCTTCATATAAATATTGATAAGTTAGTAGATCTTTGGACTGTTTAATAGACTTAACTGGTATCGAAAATTTAGATTTTTTTGAATGTTCACTCATTACACGCCTCCAATTACTCGATACTTGCAGCTTACTTGTGTTGGCTATTTTACTTTGAGATGCCCAATGATTGAGTGATGATGGATTATCATCATCAGTTATGTGTGTTTTATAGTCAAACGCAATGAATTGATCTGAATCCATTTCGATAAAATCGAAAATTTTACAAAGAATAGATGCTTTGAAAATTGAACATGTTTCATCGGATATATTTCTTCTGTCAATCAGTGTAGAATAAGCTTTATCGTAATCATACGATGAAACATTTTGAAGGTAATATTTTCCTTGGCACCAATTAACACCACCAGGATGTTTTTTCTCTTTACCACTAGCATCGGTAATTTTAACATAATGCTCAAGCTTTTCAATAGAAAAGAAATAGTCCTTGATTGGTTTGAAATCTTCAGCATGACTTGAAATGTTTTCAAATGGATACTTAACAATACCAATATTAGAGTTGAATTTACAAAGAAAAACACGTAATCGCAGGCCAATGTAGAGACATTGATTTAGAATACGGTACTCTGAAAATCGATAATTGTTTAGATATTTGTCAAGTGTTATTCCATTCTTTATGATTGAATTAATAAATCCTGATTTATGATCCAACACATTTAATGTTGTCAAAAGACGGGTAACCAGCAATGTGTCTTGTATATTGTACTCCAGAGAATTAAATATACAGGGATTTTTTTGCTTCTGAGAAATTGAGAACAAAGGTATTCCATGCTTAGCTATATCCATGAAGGTGAATCTGAGTTGTCGTGAATCCAAATCAATTTTATTGTCATTAAGAATATGAGCTGAAACTGTTGAGAGTTTATGATTTGGTAATTCACTAAACTCAATTACACAACTTTTGTAAAGATCGAAGTTAATCTGAGCCAAAGTTAAACTTTTAACACCTGAATCATGGACGATGAACAGATTCAGTTCATTTTTCAAATTATGAACCAAACAACGATTATAGAGAAATTCAATATCGTATGCATCTGTATTCCAACCAGTCATGTAATGTAATCTTTTTTTTATGTGTATGCTATGAATGGTGAATTTGAGAAGATCAATTTCATTATCAAAAACATAAAGTCTATTTTTCGTACCATGCTGTTTCAGAAAATCAGTAAGATGACCAGATGGATTGTAACTTGAATTGTACACATATCTTGTTACGAATTTTTCTGTATCAATCCCTGGTATCGGTATGTATACACCACAAATAGTTTCATCTAAAACAGCGTTGTAAATAGACACCGAGAAAAGCTTATCATCCAGAGCTTCCCCTGTTGGTACACGATTAGGCTCAGAGGTAACTGTTTCAATATCAAAAGTGATAAAACTTTTTTGTAATGGTGGATCAGGTTGATATGTTTTTGTAGCATGAAGGGATTCATTAAACCAAGTATAGAGAAAACGTGAAGTAGCACCATTATTTTTTACCATTAACTCCATGTAAACAAGATGGTAAATCTCCCAATATTGAGTTACTCCAACATAATTGTAACACGTATGCTGATTTTTGAAAAATTTGTGTATCCATTGAGCTGAGTCAAAAGAATCAGTTACAAGTTTTACCAGTCTGGTTTTCTCTGTGACTTTCTCATAGTCACAGAATCGATCGTAAACAGTGAAGTTGTTAGTCGTGAAATAAAGTTCTGTTGGAATAACTTTAAACCCTAAAACTTTTCCATGGCATTGTAGGACTGAAAGTTTGTTAGACATAACGTAAATACCTGGCGAAATTTTCATTTTCATTTTGAAAGCATTGGTCTCAGCATCACAACCGATAGCGAATATTTCATTTTTACAATGAACCCAACTAGTTACAAAAAGGTGTTCTGATGGATTTGTTGGAATTTGTGAAAGTTGTGTTTCACTTGTTTTTGATACAAAAATTTTTTTATTGCTGTTGTTCATTTTCACATACAAAAGAAATATTTGTGCTCACAACAGGAAGATTTTTAGTCAAAATCTTGTTAGCTATAATTGGTGAACTGGAATGTAGCAGCTTACAACCGTGCGACGTTTTAAACGATGGCTTGCTTAATGTTTTATCAAGTTTGCTTTCCATTCGCTTTCGAGCATCAAATTTGATAACGACATAGGCTTCTTCATCCTTCAATGATAATCCTAAAATGGTAAAGAAATTGTATTGAAATTACTCAAAGCCTAAACCGCTCATAAAAGTTCATTCATTTGATCAACTTGATCTTCTTTCATCCTTTCAACATACTAATTAACAATAGACAATTTTGACTATTAGCTTCAACATAAGCTCTGGTTATTATTTTGCCATCTAACTCATTCAAAGCATAATCATTGTTAAGAAAATTTGATCAACTTGCTAGGGTAAAAAGTATCTATTCACCTGTATAGATACTTATTGATAGATTTTTAATATTAGTTTTAGTATTGACTTGACGGTAAATGACTACCATAGAATATTCAGAAGCAAACAAAGGAACTCAACTGCATAGAATAATACTAACCATAAGAATCTAACTTGGTTCTAGCCTCTGATCTCTTTTTCTCCTTCTTTCATCCTTTCAACATACAAATTAACCATGAACAATTTTTTGAACTGCAAAAATTAACCATTTTCAATGAAATTGATTTGACTATTAGCTTCAACATAAGCTCTGGTTATTATTTTGCCATCTAACTCATTCAAAGCATAATCATTGTTAAGAAAATTTGATCAACTTGCTAGGGTAAAAAGTATCTATTCACCTGTATAGATACTTATTGATAGATTTTTAATATTAGTTTTAGTATTGACTTGACGGTAAATGACTACCATAGAATATTCAGAAGCAAACAAAGGAACTCAACTGCATAGAATAATACTAACCATAAGAATCTAACTTGGTTCTAGCCTCTGATCTCTTTTTCTCCTTCTTTCATCCTTTCAACATACTAATTAACCATAGACATTTTTGAACTGTAAAATTAACCATTTTCAATGAAATTGATTTGACTATTAGCTTCAACATAAGCTCTGGTTATTAGCTTGCCATCTAACTCATTCAAAGCATAATCATTGTTAAGAAAATTTGATCAACTTGTTAGGTAAAAGTATCTATTCACCTGTATAGATACTTATTGATAGATTTTTATTAGTTTTAGTATTGACTTGACGGTAAATGACTACCATAGAATATTCAGAAGCAAACAAAGGAACTCAACTGCATAGAATAATACTAACCATAAGAATCTAACTTGGTTCTAGCCTCTGATCTCTTTTTCTCCTTCTTTCATCCTTTCAACATACAAATTAACCATGAACAATTTTTGAACTGCAAAAATTAACCATTTTCAATGAAATTGATTTGACTATTAGCTTCAACATAAGCTCTGGTTATTAGCTTGCCATCTAACTCATTCAAAGCATAATCATTGTTAAGAAAATTTGATCAACTTGCTAGGGTAAAAAGTATCTATTCACCTGTATAGATACTTATTGATAGATTTTTAATATTAGTTTTAGTATTGACTTGACGGTAAATGACTACCATAGAATATTCAGAAGCAAACAAA